ATACTTTTTTTTTTTTTTTTTGAGACAGAGTCTCACCCAGGCTGGAGTGCAGTGGCACCATCTTGGCTCACTACACGCTCTGCCTCCCGGGTTCATGCCATTCTCCTGCCTCAGCCTCCTCAGTAGCTGGGGCTACAGGCGCCCACCACCACACTCAGCTAATTTTTTGTATTTTTAGTGGAGACAGGGTTTCACTGTTAGCCAGGATGGTCTTGATCTCCTGACCTTGTGATCCGCCCGCCTTGGCGTCCCAAAGTGCTGGGATTACAGGTGTGAGCCATGGCGCCCGGCAAGAATACATTTTAAAAATAGGTGGAGAATGAGCAGTTTTTGGTTGTAAAGTTAGTTACAGCTATTCTGCTAGGTACATAATTCATCAGCATTTTACTCTAATACTTATAGTTGTGCTAAGATATTATGCTTGTTTTATAGGTGAGGAAGTGTTTAAGGTCAAAGGGTTTAAAAACTTGCTGGTTATATAACTAGTATTTATTTTAAGTGGATATAGCAAATAAGTATCAGAGCCCAGATATTCAAAAGGAAGAAATCCTTACTCAAAACAATTAGAACCTTCGCTGTTTATTTAATTCCCACTCATTCCTCAAGACTTTCAAATACTGTTTTCTGTGAAGCTGCCCATGTCCCCCACTTTTTTCTAATAGCGCTTTTTTCCATGCTACTACAGCAAAGTGCTTTTATGTTTCACATGTACTTCACTCTGTTGAGTGGCTTTGATTCTTTCCTGGAAAAGTTGAGAGCCAAGTTGTGTTCATGTTAAACTCTTCCCCTTCAAATACCTGACAGACAATAGCTGCTTAACAATATGGTTGGAATGAATTTGTTATGTTATAAATCAGGCTTTTGAGGCAAGATTGTCTATCTTTGTCAGGAATCCTGCAATATGGCGAACATAAGAGAATATTATGAGAGAGCTTTGAGAGAATTTGGATCCACAGATTCTGGTAAGTAAACCCTTAATTTGTGACCAATTAGTATGGTTAGAACAGTATTTCTTGGCTGAGCACAGTGGTTCATGCCTGTAATCCCAGCACTTTGGGAGGCCAAGGCAGGCAGATCACCTGAGGTCAGGAGTTTGAGACCAGCCTGGCCAGTATGGTGAAACCCTGTCTCTACTAAAACACAAATTAGCCAGACATGGTGGTGCGCACCTGTAATCCCAGCCTGGGAAGGCTGAGGCAGGAGAATTGCTTGAGCCTGGGAGATGGAGGTTGCAGTGAGCTGAGATTGCGCCATTGCACTCCAGCGTGGGCAACAACAGTGAAACTCCATCTCAAAAATAAACAAACAAAACTGTTTTCTTAGTTTTTTTTTTGCATCATAACCCTCTTTTAAAATAAAACTTGTTTCCTTCCTCTGCCTCCTCAGTTGCTTTGTGTATACTAATTTTGTTTATCATTTCAAGATCATAAGTTCAGGGGTCCATGGGTCGTCTGTTAAGAACTCTGGATTTCTCAGGAGTCTGAGACCAGCCTGGGCAACATTATTTAGACCCTCATCTCTACAAACAAACAAGAAAAAGTAGCTGCGTATGGTAGTGCATGCCTGTGGTCCCAGCTACACAGGAGGCTGAGGTGTGAGGGTTGTTTGGACCCCAGGAGGTTGAGTCTCAATGACCGTGATGCCACCACTGTACTCCAGCCTGGGTGATACAATGAGACCCTGTCTCAAAACCAGAAACCAAAAACAACCCCTCTGGATTAGAGAAAGATTTGCATGGTTTTGTTCTCTTAAAAAAATGTATTTAGAGTTACATGAAAGGGGTAAACGTGAGATGCTAATTGGCATCTGTTATTGACTGTCTCCACATTGCGCTCATTTGTAGGACTTGTATAACGTACTTCTAGGTACAGGTATGTCATGTAAAATCTGTGAACTTTATTTATGAACTCATAAACACTGATTTATTTATTTTTATTTTGTTTTGAGTCGGTGTCTCACTCTGTCACCTAGGCTGGAGTGCAGTGGCACAATCTCGGCTCACTGCAACCTCTGCCTCCCAGGTTCAAGCGATTCTCATGCCTCTGCCTCCCAAGTAGCTGGGAGTACAGGCACGCGTGCCACCATGCCTGGCTAATTTTTGTATTTTCAGTTGAGATGGAGTTTTGCCATGCTGGCTAGGCTGGTCTTGAACTCTTGACCTCAGGTGATCCGCCTGCCTTGGCCTCCCAAAGTGCTGGGATTACAGGTATGAGCAACTGTGCCTTGCCAAAAAGTTTAGTATTTTTGAGTTAATTAAATAAAACAGACTTTTATCATTGATGTGAAGGTTTTCTACTGGGAAAAAAAAAAAAACCTGGCGAGGTGCAGTGTCTGACACCTGTAATCCCAGCACTTTGGAAGGCCAAGGTAGAAGGATTGCTTTAGCCCAGGAGTTCAAGACTAGCCTGGGCAATATGGTGAAACCCTCTTTCTACAAAATATTAAAAAATTAGCCAAATATGGTGGTGTGCCTGTGGTCCCAGCTGCCCTGGAGGCTGAGGCAGGAGGGTCACTTGAACTCAGGAAGTTGAGACTATAGTAAGTCATGTTCTCACCACTACGTTCTAGCCTGGGCGACACAGTGAGACCCTGTCTCAAAAAAAACAAACCAAAATCAGCCACTATAGTTTAAAGAAGCTAAGAGAGGTATTGTTAAACAAAGCATCCTAGGGAAGTTAACAGTGAGAAGTTAAGTTTCTTAGAAATCTTGAGTTGAATTGATATTTAATAAGGTTACCTAATAACACTCCTGTCAGTTATCTAATTGTATGTTTTGTTTTTTTTTTAAAGATCTTTGGATGGATTATATGAAAGAAGAATTGAACCACCCCCTTGGTAGACCTGAGAACTGTGGACAGATCTACTGGCGAGCGATGAAAATGTTGCAGGGAGAGTCAGCAGAGGCATTTGTAGCTAAACATGCTATGCATCAGACTGGCCATTTGTGAAGAGGAAGAATACAGCCTGCTTTGTGAAACAGTATTGCAAGCAAGCCCTGGGGGCAAGTTTGTATTATGAGTCCATCTGTAATTTGCTCAGGGATGGCAGACAAGATGGCTGTCTGGTTTTGAGACACACTTTATTTTATGTTAACTTGTTAATGTTTTTTAAAAATTAAAAATTTTTTATGATTGAGACAGGATCTTGCTCTGTTGCCCTGGCTGGTCTTGACCTCCTGGACTCAAGTGACCTTCTTACCTCAGACTCCTGAGTAGCTGGAATTATAGGTGTATGACACCATGCTCAGCTTGATGTGCTAATATCTGATTCTGGGAAAGAGAACTGCTGATTTAATGTTGAGGCCCGATCTACCACAGGTCCTAAATGTTCCCCAAAATATATGGAAAGCATACGACTGTTTTTTTTTTTTAATTATCTGGGGTCAAGCACTAATATCTCTAATCTCGATTTAAGAGCCAGTTAAAATGAAGGAGAAAGTGGCCGGGCGTGGTGGCTCACACCTGTAATCCCAGCACTTTGGGAAGGCTGAGGCAGGCAAATCATCTGAGGTTAGGAGTTTGAGACCAGCCTGGCCAACGTGGTGAAACCCCATCTCTACAGAAAATACAAAAAATAGGCGGGCGTGGTGTTGGGCGCCTGTAATCCCAGCTACTTGGGAGGCTGAGGCAGGAGAATCGCTTGAACCTGGGAGGCGGAGGTTGCAGTGAGCCGAGATCATGCCATTGCACTCCAGCCTGGGCAAGAAGAGCAAAACTCCTTCTCGAGAAAAAAAAGGAGAAGGTACAGTTTTGTTAGTTTATTCTCATTGTAAAAGATACGTGGTATGCATTTGTTCTGGAAAATATGGAGAAAATAGAATAGTGTGGCGAAAAAAATCAAAGCATCCTGTAATCTAGAGTTAAACTTAGTAATTTGATTTCCTTTATCAGAATTGGATTTATACTCTTAGATTATTTACCCATTCATTCATTCAAGAAATATTTGAGTGCCCATTATGTGCAGAAAAGAAGGGAGGCCTTTGGGGATAGAAGTGGGGGTTGCAGAAACAGCTGAATGTCCTAAGAAAGTTGATTGGATCAGCAGCAAAGGAATTGCTGGATATTGGGAAAATTTGTCCTTCAAGAAGGTGAAAACCATAAAAAAGTGTCTTCTGTCTTCTGGAACTGATGATCAGAGAAGTGTTTGCAATTGAGGCGATCCACCAACAAAAGAAGGGAAGGGGTAGGGAGTAGATTCAAGTGCAGAGAAGCCTTAGCAGTGAGGAGTGGAAGGCAGGCTTGGAGCAAAAAAATAAAAACATTCCAGGAGCAGGATGTAACTGTTTGAATTGTATCCTGTAGCTTAATACCATGTCACTGGGAGAAGCTTTCAGTGTGGCTTATTGTTAGTTTCACTTAGTATTGTTTTTCTGTGTCATTAAATAGCCTTAAAAACATTTAATGAATTCATAACATTACATTGTAAAAATAAGCCATAATGTATTTTACTAATCCTCTGGTTGGACTGTCTTTTTTTGTTTGTTTGTTTGAGATGGAATCTTGCTCTGTTGCCCAGGCTGGAGTGCAGTGGCCCTATCTCGGCTCACTGCAACCTCCACCTCCTGGGTTCAAGTGGTTCTGGCTCAGCCTCCCGAGCAGCTGGGTGGGACTACAGGCACCCGCCACCACACCCAGCTAATTTTTGTATTTTTAGTAGAGAGGGGGTTTCACCATATTGGCCAGGCTGGTTGCGAACTCCTGACCTCATGATCCATCCGTCTTGGTCTCCCAAAGTGTTGGAATTACAGGCGTGAGCCACTGAGCGCGGCCTAGACTGTCATTTCTAATTTTTAAAAAAATTATATAAATGCTGTTGATGAAGATTCTTGTCAATCTTTGTTCACATCCCTGGCTATTTCCTTAGGAGATTGACATCTGACAGTGGAATTACTGGATCAAAGGATACTGCTTTTAGAGAATATTGATATGTATTGCTGGTTTGCTCCTTCTTTCAAGCAATAGATGAAAGTGTCAATACCATTACCTGTACTGGTGTAATTATATTTTTTATTTTTACCATTTTATAGGTGAAATGTTTCAACATACTTTTCTTTGATATTAGTGAAGTTAGTGTATTTTATGTTTCTCATCTTTTTACATTCTTAGACTATTTTAAACACTTTTTTCTTACTAATTTATGAGTTCATTTTTTTTTTTTTAATTGGACAAGGTCTTGCTCTGTCATCTAGGCTACAGTGCAGTGGTGTGATCATGGCTCACTACAGCCTTAAATTCTGGGCTCAAGAGATCCTCCTGCCTCAGTCTCCTGAGTAGCTGGGACTACAGGCACACACCACCACGCCTGGTTAATTAAAAAATTTTTTTGTAGAGACTGGTCTCACTATGTTGCCAGGGCTGGTCTCTTAAAGGGTTGGCCTCAAGCAGTCCTACCTCAACCTCCCAAAGTACTGGTATTACAGGCATGAGCCATTGTGCCTGGGCAGAGTTTTTAAAAACATATTAAGTATATTAATATCTTGTTTCTAATTTGTTGCAAATAATTTTACCCCCAGCTTTTCTTGTGGCAATTTTTTTTTTTTTTTTTTTTTTAATTGAGACAGAGTCTTGCTCTGTGGCCCAGGCTGGAGTGCAGTGGTATGATCTTACTGCAACCTCTGCCTCCTAGGTTCAAGCAGTTCTCCCTGCCTCAGCCTCCCAAGTAGCTGTGATTATATAAGCGCCCACCTTTTGTGGCAATTTTTGATGCCCAGAGGTATTTTGTGTGTGTGTGCGTGTGTGTGTGTGTGTGTGTGTGTGTGTGTGAGATACTTGTTTTTACAATGCTTTGAAAGCTCTTCCTGGTGCTGAGAAGACTCTTTTTCCCCAAGCAGTTAATTAATTTTTCCAACACTATTTGGCCAGTTACGTTTCTCTCTGCTGATTTGTGATGTTACCTTCATTATATGTTAAATTTCTATGAGTATTAGAGTCTACTTTAGAATATTTTTATTTTGAGCTTTTGTACTGTTTTTCTTTGTGTGTGTGTTTTTTTTTTTGTTTTGTTTTTTGTGTTTTTTTTGACCAAGTCTCACTCTGTCTCCCAGAGTGGAGTGCCGTGGGACAATCTCTGCTCACTGCAACCTCCACCTCCTGGGCTCAAGGGATTCTCCTGCCTCAGCCTCCTGAGTAGCTGAGATTATAGGTGTGCGCCACCACGCCTGGCTAATTTTTGTATTTTTGGTAGAGACGGGGTTTCACCATGTTGGCCAGGATAGCCTTGAACTGATCTCAAGTAATACGCCTGCCTCAGCCTCCCAAAGTGCTGAGATTACAGGAGTGAGCCACCGCGGCCAGCCTGTTTTCTTGTCATTTGTTTTAAAATAAGAAAAAAATTCCTCTTTTTCCTGTCCCTTAAGTCCTGGGATGTTTAACCTTCTAAATCTTATTTGGCACTTTAATTTTACAAAAGAGATATGTGTTGTAAATAGAGTAGGGAGCAAAGAGGATAGTGGTAGTCTCCTTAACACAAAGCTATATAAAAGTGGTCACCTGGGCTCATCACATCCCTGTATTTGATTCTCACTATTGCAGGTTATGAAAACGCATCTAGCTAGTACACCTAGAGTTGCACTGTTAGAAACAGTAGCTCCTAGGCAGATGTAGCAATTTAAATTTATTAGAATTATTCAATTTATTCATATTGGCCACATTTTAAGTGCTCAGTAGGTATATGGTTACTGAGTAGGTAGGTATATGGTTACATATGCTCAGTAGGTATATGTCCAATATGGTATATTGGACAGCACAGATAGTAGAACTTTTCACCATTAACGAAGGTT